GAGGTCGATGTTGCATACGAACATGTGAAAGACATCGATTGCTTGGACCTGACGAAAGAAGGTATCGAGGCCTGGGAGTCGGCTTTGAAACGGTATTTTTCACCATGTACCATTGAGTGTGTATTATAGTTAGTTGTTTTAGTTATGAGGAAAGAATCGATCGTGTTGAAGCACGAATCACAACTCGTTTACGAGATCAGCTAGAGTCGGCCAAAAACGCGAACGAAATGTTCAGGATTTTTTCACGTTTTAACGCGTTATTCGTTCGTCCGCACATCCGTGGGGCAATTCGTGAGTATCAGACGCAGCTGATCCAACGAGTGAAGGAAGACATTGAGACCTTGCATGAAAAGTTTAAGGTAAGGTTTTTTAAGATGGTAAGGTGGATTCAGTTTGGGATATTTTCGTTGTGGTACAGGTGCAATATATCCAAAGCAAAGCCAGTTCAATGAGCCGTGTACATGATTTGCCTCCGGTTTCAGGTTCGGTCATTTGGGCTCGACAGGTTTGAGTAGTTATTTGGTTAATATCTTCGCGCTACTTTCTTTGTTTTCAGATCGATCGTCAATTATCGCGTTATCTTCGTCGCGTGGAAGACGTGCTCGGCAAGGGTTGGGAAAATCACATCGAAGGACAGAAGCTGAAAGCGGACGGCGACAGTTTTCGACTAAAACTCAATCCACAGTCCATCTTTGACGCATGGGTTGCCAGAGTACAGGCAAGAAATATCGGGGTTTCTGGAAGAATCTTTCTTGCAGACACGGTCCGCGGCTATGATGGAAAATCGACGTTGCGCCTGCGCGTTAATTTCCCGTTGGAGATCACAGCATTGTCTAAAGAGGTTATGCACATGACAAGTGGCTGGCGGTTACGCCTAAATTTTAATGTCGTTGTTGTTCAATTCAGGTGCGAAACTTCAAGCATATGGGTTTTCGGGTACCTCTGGCTATAGTGAACAAAGCCCACCAGGCAAACGAGCTCTATCCGTTTGCCATTTCGCTCATTGAATCAGTGCACATTTACGAGTCGATGAATGTGCGTATCGTTGGTCGAAAGTGCATTGAGCTGCTCATCGCCGGCACGAAAAAAGAAATTCAGCAGTTAATCATTGAGGTGCGTTACTAACGGTTTTGATCGCGGCTGCACATGTATTCAGACAATGTTTAGGGAACAAACCTGGTATGGGAGTCGTACAAACTGGATTCGTATGTGAAACGTTTTTCTGAGCTGGTCACCCATTACGAAGAGAAGGTCGAAGAGTTGCTAAACATGGAGGAGCAAATTAGCCTTCAGTTGACGCTGTTGGATACATGCCAGTACGCAGCGCCGGTATTTCAGCAGATCTTGGCTACTATTCAGAAGATTGTCGACAACCTGAGTTTGCATCTGTTTTCAAATTTGGTGATTTGGGTCGAACAGCTGGATGAACAGGTAAAAGAAAATTTGCCTGGCTGTCCTTTTTAAGAAGTCTGCTGCAACGTTGACTGACTTAAGCGAACTGCTTTTCTTCATAGATAGAGAAGAAATTGGCTTTCCGACTGCAAGAAGGTGCGAAAGCATGGACGGCTGTGTTGCAAGGAAAACCGAAGGAGGAATTCGATTCGACCGAAAATATTCCAGAGAAGGTCAAGCTTAGCCTGGGAGGCGATCCTAAGCTTCAGGTAGCCAGCCTAAATCTACAGAAAACAGCTTAACGATTAAATGTGACGGATATTCGTTGCTTACGAGTCTAGTTAAATTTTTATTTAATCAGTTTCAGGACTTTCTGTGTTGACAAGGTAGTCCATTATTATCTGAGTCAAGATACAGTACGGCAATGCCTGGCTACTGTAAAGCTTCATGAAATGATTTCTGAAGCTAATTTCTATCCTTCTCTGACTTTTCTTCCGCAGAAATGCTGATTTAGTGGTTCCAGACGGCTAGTAAACAGAATGTAAACTGTTTAATATTGCCGATGTTTCAGTCAGACAGCCTGAGCCATCCTTAGGGCAAACGGTAGGATGAAGAAAGCTCAGAAAGCTTAGTGACAGTTACGACAGGCCCAAACATGTATGATAGACAGCGAATAAGTCTAAAGATCGAACGGCAGTTGATTAGACTCCATGCAGTAGACATGTTAAACGAACTTGCCATACTGTTGCATGTTTTGCTTTACATGCCAC